CACCTGCCTAAAGGCGTGATTAGAGGTGGCTTCAGCCAGGACACGCAGGGGCGTGGTTCCCATACATGATGTTGTACCGAGTGAATTGACTGAAAGGGAACATAATGTGCATATGTCAACACAACACCAATTTACAAATAAATACTGTTTTTTTGAAGGTTGGATAAACTTCCCTTCTTGTTTTATATGTAAAGAGTTGGAGTGCGAATCCTAAATGTTGTTTTTGACAGTATATGAAAAAGTAATTTTTGCCTTTCTGCTTTGTGTCCTTTTCAGCTCTTCCTGCTCCCACCAGTTTAGCCGAAGCCTTGAAGCAGAGGATGGACATTTACAAGCAAGCAGCCGAGGAAGCCAAAAGCAAAGGAGATGATCGAAAAGCTCGCATGCACCAGCGCATCATGAAGGTACACGCAGCGTTTTCATTTCTTCTCTCTTCAGATGCAGTGAAGCTAATTCAAAGGAGCCATTAAACAGCCGGTGTCATTCATCTCATATTCCAGAATCAGTTTGTTAGCTTGTTCTTTTATTTCAGTGAATGACCAGCATGACTCATCTCCTTTGTGTTATTTTGAACACAAACATCCTCTCCTGCCTGTTACTGCTGGAGTTACTTACATGATCTACTGAATAACCTGCATTATTGCTGTCACACTGACACGTGAAAAACACAACTAGTTGGTTGAAGCATTGTACCAAAGCATTTTTCAGTGATGTTACTGCACTCCCTCCTTTTGATTCTGAACTCAAGCAGGTTTAAACATTTTGTTGTACTTGTCATTGGAAGTTTAAGCTCTTGGCTTCTGCAGAAGATAAAAGATTCAAAGTGTTTATTGTCATATACTCAGATGAAACGTCAGAATCAGTTTTATTGTTATTGTCAATGAACAGGATTCACAGACTGGGAATTTGCTTCGGTGTAAAGGTGCAATAGGTATAAAATAACAAAGAAAATACAAGGGATAAAGGAAAAATATAGTAAAATATATAAAACATATGTACACAAGTTCAATACAGTAATTGGAGCAGACAATATATTTGGAGTAGTGCAGTTAGATCCAGTGATAAAAGTGACCAGAAAAACAATATACAGTATATGTAAAACATTCTTTTGTACTTCTGTGATGGTCATTTGCACTGCAGCAAAAATGCTGGGTTTGATTAAGATTACAGAGAAAATCATGAAAAATGCTCTACATTATCTTTGCTTTTTATGATAATGGGCGGCTGTGGTGGAGTGGTTAGGGGAGTCGTCCTGTCCAGCCATTTCAGTCGTTGTGTCCTTGGACAAGACACTTCACCCACCTTGCCTACTGATGGTGGTCAGAGGGTCCGGTGGCGCCGGTGCATGGCAACCCCACCTCTGCACTTCACCCACCTTGCCTACTGATGGTGGTCAGAGGGTCCGGTGGCACCGGTGCATGGCAGCCCCTCCTCTGTCAGTGTGCCCCAGGGTAGCTGTGGCTACACTGTAGCTTACCATCATCAGTGTGTGAATGTGAGTGTGAATGGGTGAATGTAAGTGTAAAGCACTTTGGAGTCCGGAGGGACTTGATAAATCGCTTTATAAGTTCAGTACCATAATTTTCTACCGTGATACCGTTACCGTGAAGGGATTCAATTTATGCTGTGATATGAATTTGAGCTCGTACCGCCCAGCCCTTAGAGGGCAGCAGATATGGCGTCTGATGTTGACCTGTTGGGCCTGTAGGGATTATTTATTTTTTATTTCCTTTATTTAACCAGGAAAGTCCCATTGAGATTAAAAACCTCTTTTTCAAGGGAGTCCTGGCCAAGAGGCAGCAAAAAGTATACATTTACATAAAAATTACACAATTAAAACACAACACAAACAATCACTAATAAAAACATTGACAGTTCAAAGACGTAGTCTCTAATGCCCTCAATCTGGACTTAAAGGACATGAGGCAGCAGAGAGGACATGAGACAGCAGAGAGAGGACATGAGACAGCAGCAGAGAGGACATGAGACAACAGAGAGAGGACATGAGGCAGCAGAGAGAGGACATGAGGCAGCAGAGAGAGGACATGAGGCAGCAGAGAGAGGACATGAGGCAGCAGAGAGAAGCAGAGGAGGGA